TTTAGAACATGAGAAATAAACTAATTATGCTCACATTATATAAAAAATAAATAATATATATTCAAATAGTGGTTTAACCTATCTCAAGATACCCAATGCACCATCAATATCAAGTCTTTGGACAATAATATTAATTGCTAGAGGTATCTTGTTGTAATAATCAAACATTGACAATAAAGCACGTCCAACAACAAACCAGTCTTTGGATTGATTTAACATCGACAAAGCAAATCCTTATAATTATCACATGTTTATCATTACAAGTGTGTATGCAATTCAGCCAAATATTAATCTTCCTTTGGGCCAACTAATACTCGCGTGAATATACACAAACACTAACATTCAATATTTTTCATGAACTGCCCAATTCAAGAGAGGTTACTTTGGTGACTTCTTGACTCAATTTGCTCACAAAAAATATTAAACTACCAAAAAATTGAATATTTTATTTATATAACAAAAACAAATATTTAATATTTGCAAACTAATTCAAAAGAGAATCACCTCATTAGAATTCTACTAAGGATGAACACCTCCCTAGAATCTCATTAGGGATGAACACCTCATTTGAACAAATCAAAGGATGAAAAAAGGCCTCATTTTCCACCAATACATAAAGGATGAACATCTCCCTAAAATCACACTAGGGATGAAATAGAGATAGTTTTGAGTCTCTTTAGCATACTGCTCTAAACCCTAAAAGGGGATTAAATAGTAATCACTCAAACCCTAAACATGGGAATTTAACATCAAATTTTTCTAAAAAAAATAAAATAAGAACAGTCACACCTGTGGAAGTATTCACCATTTACCTAAGATTTTCTGTGTTGGGAATTCCCCAAACACTACCCCCAATTCCAAACTCATCCATATCCACCATGAAAAGAAAATGAAAACAAAAACCCATAAAATTAAATAAAAACAAAAACAAAAGATTCAAAGAGAACAGAGAACTCAATACAAGAAAGATTGAAATTTGAAACACTATTTTTTTCTCAGTAAAACTTGAAACTTAAACTCAAACAAAAGGGAAAAACGAAGAAGAAGAATTCATAGCTTCCTCCACGGTTCCATCAGCAAACAGAATTAAATTGGGGATGTTACCCCTAAATTTAAATTTTAGGGTTTACGAAAATTAGAGATTATTCTCCACTTAGGTTTCATAAAATTGGATAATTTGAATTGTTTAAAACAAAATTAATCCTAATTTTCATAATTAGGGTTCTATAAATTAAACAGACATGAATCAAATATGGGCGGCTCTGATACCAATTGTTGGAAAATTAATAATAATAATAATAATAATAATCCTGATTTTGATTCTAACGATCAAACATAAACGTAATCTCATACTGATAAACATGTTGTAAACTGAATGTGAAAGTGTACTTGAATTAGCCATAATGATGATGTCTTTGTAGAGCACTATATTGATCTTATGGTCTTCCACCTGAAGAGCACCTGTATTTCCCTCTTGATTTTCTCTCTTGATGGGGATAGAAAGAAAGAAACAGGAATGAAACTTACGTTCTGTCTACGTGCTCCCAGAAGGGGACCATGACCCCTTAAAATAACCAGAATTAGGTTAATTACTTAAGTTTTAGTATTTCTAATTTGGCCCCTCATCAAATTAGAAATTGCTCTATGGTCTCTACACAATTTTATTTTCATGACATATGCCTTTAGCCAAACTTTTTAATTTAGTCAGATCACTTTATTATTTGCCTTAATAAATAATGGCTCTAACACATTTAAATTATGTATCATATATATACATGACCCAAAATTTGCCAACAAACCTATGTCAAATCAAGAAAGGTAGAGCAAATCAAAGATGACGATTTTCTCCAATGTGTTTTGAATTTGGACTTTACCTGGTTGAGCAATTTGAGGTAGGATGGTTTCTTCTGGGGTGGTCTAGAACGGTAAACTTTGGAAGATTGGGAAATGAAGTCTATTCTAAACTTCCCTTTTTCTTCTTGTAAGATTGATTTTCCTTCTTCAAATGAAGGAAAATTCACAGGTTCATTTGGGTATGGCATTAGAGGTTCCCCAAAGGCATAAGATATGTCTCCCACAGAATATGAATGAGTACCTGGGTCGAGCAAAAGTCTTTCCATTTATATCAACAAATTGTGCAAAAACAAGCTTAAGGATGGAAACCTGGGAAGTAACTGAAGAAGATACCATAATGATTGGAATAGGAAAGGAAGGATTGGTGAAAGTTGATGGCTTGATAGAGCATATGAGAAAGGAAGTGTATTTGGAGGCTTAGGAGATCGGGGATTCAGAAGTCTTGAGAAATGAGCGTGGAGTGGTGACAAAGGTGAAACAATTTAAAGTTTAAAGACAACAAATTTCCAGAAAAACTAAAATATTAAGTGGGCTTTGGTATTAGCCCATATCTAGCCATGTAGTAATTTGACCTAATATTAAACTCAGTGATGACTAAGTGAATGATGATAGGCAGACAACATTTATTACAAAAATTTAGCATTTATGAGGAGAGTATAGCGTAATGATGAAAGCGTGCAACTTTTATGTGTATTTAAGCAAATTAGTAAATTGGAATATTGGTATAAGTTTTATTGTAATAGAAAATAAGAGAAATATACATTCATGTTACATTCTCTTAGGGGAACATTTTTGTTACTTATAAATTTACAATTTTTTTGAGAGGAAAGTTCAAGTTAAATAAAGAGAGGTTAATCAAAGATATGGAATGTTCACTCGAACATCTGGAATTGAAGACTTGAGAATGTCAAGTTACGGATTCTGAATTTGAGAGAAACAAGACATCGAGAAAAGGTTATGCAAACGGGAAAGAACAAGGGATCGAGGAAGAATTATGCAAGAGATATGTAGAAGTGATTATGGGTCTGTTACGTGACATTTGTGCTTAACAGGTATTGCATAATAATAAAATGACTCAAAGAAAAATAGGGGAACGATTATAGGAAAGTAATTGTTTGTTTGATTTGATTTTATGTCTTGTATTTTTTGTTAGAAACAATGTCTTAACGTTTATGTCTTGTAAAATGGATGATTGTCAAATTGTAAGAAAACTTGCATTTTTAAAAAACGTTACAAACACGCGACAAGTATTTTCAATAGAATTCTTTACAATTTTGATCGTCATCTTCGTTAATTTTCTTTACCAATTTCTATTTTATCATTGGTAATAAGTTATATTTATCTTTCTATAATTTACTTTCTAACAATTTACTTTCATTGTACTTTTATTGTGCTCACAATTTACTTTAAATGTTACAACTCATTAAAAATTCAAATTATATATAGAAGATCATTAATATAAATTCATCTTATTTTAATTATAGAGTGATTAGTGGTAACTTAATTAGAATTCTCTAAAATTAAAAAAAATTTGTGCTTATTAGTCAAAATTAAAAAGAATTCACGTAGTATTTGAATGATTTATTACATACTTAGATAAAAAGATATTAATTGAACAATAAATTATTTTACACTATAAACAAGGTCAGTGCTATTTTTAATATTAGTTAGAATTTTCTTTTAAAATCTTTATTTAAAAAATGTGGTTTCAAAATAGTTAAATATATTTTCTGTTAGAAAAAATATTGAAATTAGTTAGACCAAAAGATCTAATTAGAATTTTTTTTATTTTATTTTTGTAATGTCAAGGTTTATTCGGACTTTTACTTACCTTCTTGATTGGTACGGTCGATTTATAAAATCATGAAGTAATTTTATACCTTCTTGATTGGTACGGTCTATTTATAAAATCATGAAGTAATTTTTGTTTAAAGAGATTATATCATTACAACAAATTTTGCGTCGTGAGAATTGTAATGATTCTTTTTTATTTATTAATTTAATTATATTTCGAATGATGATTATTTTTTATTAAATTTTGACTATATAATATATATATATATATATATATATATATATATATATATATTACAAATTTACATTAACTCTATATTAGAAATAAATATTAAAGTTTATAAGATTTTTTTATAGAATTTTTGTTCTAAAGGTGATTGAATTATCAATAATATTTACATTTTAACTAATTAAGATACTTGTTGTGATGATCACAAAACAAGAGTTTATATAATTTGACATTAATATTTTTAGTTATATCATAATAAAATTGAAAAATAGAAACAAATATCATGTAATATAATATTATATCAAAATAATATACAAATAAAAATTTTAGTATCTTCTATATATTCCATTTTATTTTATATTTAAAAATTTTAAATCAATTTTGTAATAGCTAATCAAGATAAATGAGTTCAAAATTATTTCCTATTTAGATATTTATTCATTTGTATTCCTATGCCTAACGTCTAACCACAATATCACCAAATCTTAAAAAAAAAATATTTTTTAGAATATTTAAAAACAAATTAAATAACATAAATATCAATAAATAATGTATAAATGAATAAAATTGGAAATTAATAAAACAAACAAGTATAAATAAATAAAGAGATTCAATATATAATTGGAGATAAATTAAATAAATATAAATAAATAAAGATGATTAATGTATAATTAAAAATAAATTAAATATAAATGAATAGAGAAGATTGTAACTAAAAATAAATTAATAAATAGGGAGGACATGCAAATAATTGGAAATAAATATAAATTATCTGTGAGCTACACCTCACTTAATAATAAGATTAGAATCACCTTAATTATCTTTAATTATAAAGAATAATAATAAATGTTTATATATTTTTATATTTTTTTCTCTTATCCTCTTTTTTTTTCGTCCCTTTCATATTAAATTTTTATTTTTTATTTGTATTTTTGTTAAGGATCAAGTTTTTTACTTTTTAGTTCTCTTCAATAATCATGCAACTCAGTTTGCACGAGTTTTACTTTCAAAATTTCTTTTAAATTTTTCAATAATTTAGTTTAGTTGAACAAGTACTTGATCACCCTTACCTTGAGGTTTAGGATGTGGTAATCAATTGAGAATCTTATTCAGTCAACGATACTTCTCCAATATCATTATTGTCTAGGGAATATTCGATGTTTGGGTTGGTCGCGACCTTAAGTGATTCTCCCTAGCATTCCCACAATTTCATGTGCCCTTGCATTGTGACTAATAAGATGTTACGTAAAACTTATATCAAGAAAAAAAAAATACATAAAACCAACTAACACAATAGAGAAAGCCAGATTGAAGACCAGATTATTATAAAAATATATTAAGACTTTTTGAAAATGGTCAGATTTAAATCATAAAATAAAGTCTATTTAGAATGTCAGTTTGCCTCTAATGGATGTGTTTTTAACTTGTTCTCTATGAATTAAACATCATTTATATACTTTATTTCATGGATAATGGTTGTTTATTTTTATATTTCTAATTAATAATGATTACAAGTATTTAAATTTGTCTACTTGTAATCGAAAACAATGATCTTTTAATAAATTTTAATTATTAAATTTTTGGAGAAGAACCCAACCCATTTTTTTTAAATAATGATTTATAGTTTAAAAAAATTTATATTATTAGTCTTTAAAATAATTTAAAAATTTAGATGATGATGAAGATGGCCTTCTAATCTTCTATAACACTGTGACATAAACTGACTTTTAAGTTAAACAAAAAATTAAAAGAAATTAGATCAATAATTAAAATAGAGTCTATAATATATAAATAGGTGAGACTCAAATTAAAAATTAATATTGGTTGGACTTGTATTAAACTATTGCGACTCCTATTTATCATATATTAGCTTAATTTTAACATTAATTTATTCAGCGTATATAGCACCTTAACATAAGCACAAAACGATTTTTCTTCTTCTTAAGACCATGCATTGTGTTACAATTAATACATATAATATAATTTATGTTAGCCTCAAGAGTAACGTGTTGCAATTTTTCAAATTATAAATGAACTCAAGGTTGGACTAACGTATTATTATAAGACTAATATTTCAATACTTTACGTTGTTCAATATTTAAATTTTTCACAAACTGAATGAAAGAAGTAAATATTTTTTCTACAGTATTATACTTCAAATTATATATATATATATATATATATATATATATATATATATATTAATATAATAAATTATATAATTTACTTTTAAAAAAATTATAAATTATATAACAACTTCAAATTAAAATGACAAACAAATTAATTTATCTCGTTTTAGTCTATTCTACTCTAACCCGTTAATAATAGAACGAGGCTAACCCAATATAATTTAGACAGCCTACATACCTCAGTTTATTTTGATAAAGACGAGCTAACGCCCTAGTAGATTAGTCTATCAATAAATTTTTTTATATGTATTTTTTTTAATATATTTTTAATTATATAAATAGTTTTTTAGGTTTTTATTTATTAATTAATATTTTTTTAGATAAATTAAAAAATTATTATATATATACATCAAAATAATTAATTATAATCAATAATTTAATTTGATTAATTAATTTTTATAATTTAAATTATAATATTATAATATATTTATATATTTCAATAATATAAAAAAATATAATATTTTTTATTTTAATTTTAATATATAAATATTTTTTAAAATAGAGAGTGAGTTCGCTTTCCTAGCCATAAACTAGATAAAATAGACTAAACCACACTAACTAAAACTAAAACCAATGATTTATCTTGTCTTTATAAATGAACTTAGTTATCAAGACCTATTTTATCATTTTAACTCAAATCCATTAAAACAATAAAAGTAAATTTAAAAGGGTATAATATACAGATTTTTCTTACATTTGTCTTTGGAAGTCCTATAAAATCTTAAGCAAAGCCATGGAAAAACGTGCTCTTCAATGATGAGTTATTGTTGTGATGAAATATTTTTTAATAAAATTCATTTGCCGAGCAAAGTGAAAAATGGCATAGTTAGCTAGCAATCAATATACGCGGTTTTCAAAGTTTGGTATGAATTGCATACAAATAAAAGAGAGAAAAAAATAAGGGTAATGTCAACATTACCAGCTGGTTTAGTTGGATACTTTTCTCATGCTCACTTAGATTGCAGTCTTGGATCCAAAATCCACGTTGGTCCATACACGAAATATAACCCATCCTTATTTTACTTTACCTCAATTTTTCAACCTTTTCTAAGGTACGTACGTACAAGGACACAATGCATTCTCACCACTTTCATGTACAGGTACCCACAACAAAAAAGTCCAATTAAAACACACCATCACATCTCTCAATTATTCCATTGTTGAATATTTTCATATTATATAAATTTTAGACCAATTAAGATCATTATAATTAAATAATAATATAATGTGTAGATTTTAGAAATATATATAATGAATTAAACAATTTTTTGATTTAAAATAAAATTTACATAACGTTTCTCATATTAGTTTTAGTTTCTGTAAATAAAATAAAATAAAATTTGTAAGAGAATTTTAACTGTAATTTATAGTTTCATATTTTAGTTGTTTATAAATATTTGTTGTTAATTCTAAGTACAGTTCAATCTTTGAAAGGTTTCAGAATTTCCAATGGGGGTAAAGTTGAATAGATCAAGTCAAAGGATTGCTTCCAAGATGATTAATGAGTCGATGTTACAGTATGGTAAAAAAAAAACTATATAAAGGGGGTGATACCTTTGCTAATAGCGCAAGAAAACCCTTTTTGAAATGGGGTCTCTAATGGCCTCTCTTACTCTCACTCTTGTGTTGGCAGTAGTGTCCCTAAGCTTCCCATCTCAAACCTCTGCTAATTACAACCCCGTTTCATCTCCTCCACCACCACCACCAGTTTATAAGTACAAGTCTCCACCCCCACCTTACAAGTACCAATCTCCTCCACCTCCTCCTGAAAAGCCTTACAAATACCCATCGCCCCCACCACCTCCACCCTACAAATACCCTTCCCCTCCACCCCCTCCATATAAGTATCCATCTCCTCCACCACCAGTTTACAAGTACAACTCTCCTCCTCCTCCTCCCTACAAGTATCCATCTCCCCCACCTCCACCATACAAGTACCCCTCTCCTCCTCCTCCTCCCTACAAGTATTCATCTCCTCCACCTCCACCATACAAGTACTCTTCTCCTCCTCCTCCTCCCTACAAGTATTCATCTCCTCCACCTCCACCATACAAGTACTCTTCTCCTCCTCCTCCTCCTCCTTACAAGTACCCATCTCCTCCACCTCCACCGTACAAGTACCCTTCTCCTCCTCCTCCCTACAAGTACCCATCTCCTCCACCTCCACCATATAAGTACTCTTCTCCTCCTCCTCCACACTATGTCTATGCATCACCACCTCCCCCTTACATCTAATAGATATCATTTAGTACAGCACCCCATGGTAAGCTAAGCTTCATATTATAAAATCTATGCTCTCCATGTTATTTCAATCAAGGTTTTATATTAGAAGTAAACGTAAACTTCTAGAATTTTAATACATAGTAACAAAACTATAGTTAGAGGAATATAATTTAAAATTTCAAATCCAACAAAAATTTCTATTAGGAAGAAAGTTTGAAACATTTAACTTTTTATAATTAGCATTCCCACTCTTGCATACACTTCCTTCTATTTTTCTATAAAAAATAAAAACAAAAACAAAGAACTTGATTTAGTTTTGTTTTTTTAGTTTTTATTAATAATATTTTTAAATAAATTATAAAAATCTTGTTTAATAACTTTATATTTAGAAATTATTTTAAAAATAATTATGATAATTACAAAAATTTCTAATGAAAATTGAAAATTTGATTTTGATAATTGTTTGATAATGAAAAAGAATAATTTAATATAATTATTGAAAAAATTATTAATATTCACTAATAAAAGTAAAAAATATATTTTATCAATTTTGATTTTTTAGTATTTAAAACTAAAAAAAAAACAATTGATTTAACAAAATAATTATCAAACAATTTTTAAAATTTTTAAAAACAATGAAAACAATTCCTAATCAAGGTTTGTATTCTACTTTCTTTCACTTTCTCTTTAAGTGTAAAAATATAATATACAAGTTACACTGAGAATAATAAATCAAAACTTAAATATTGAACTACTCAGAACATGCTGTTACAATCATAAATTTTTATATTCAAAATTTCACATTTATATTTTCCTCCTTTCAAATATATGATACCTTCTGAATTATTCCTTTCATGTGTAAATTTTCAGGATCTGAAGAACGTGTGCAAATAAAGGGGATGGATATTGATGGATGGAAGAAGAGTGAGCGTTTCTTGTGAAAGTAGTGTTAATTTGGTTTCAGTTTATTTTATATTTTGTATTTTATATATTCAAAGTTTGAAGAGATGTTCATATCTGATCCATGTGGTTTCCTCTGGTTATTATATTATATAATAAATAAAATGTCGTGATTTTTTTCACTTTAAAATTTCTATATAGTTGGGTACATGTGTGTACACCAAGAGTTTGCCATGCATGAAAATATGATCCTGGAAAGAAATTATAAGTAATGTGACTATAACAAATTATAATAAATGTATTAACGAAAATGATTGATTATCAACCCAATTATTCATTATCGATTCATTGATTTACATACTAATTATATATAATTTAAAGAAGAAATAAGGAATGCATCCACATCTATGTAAAAATTGATTAAAACTGAGATTAACAAAGTACTAATCCCATAAAATTTTAAATTATATAATTTACATCTTAGTAGGACAGTAAAATAAATTTAAGTTGATGAGTTAAGTCAAAATTTAACCTAATTGGTGCAAGCTAATTGCAAGCGATGTAGAGGCAATGTTACGCTAATAACAAGTACTTAATATGAAGACTTGTGTGTTTGAACTTTGCTCATAAAGTACAAAACTTGAATAGTTAAATAAGATTTGTGTCCCCTCCGAAAGAGAAATAACGATAATGTCAACATGAAGAAAAAAAAAAACTTACATTAAAACAAAAATTTGTATTCTAGAATAAATTTTGTATAGAAAAAGTATTAGGACTATGAAAACAATGAGGGGGAGATTGATGGAAATGTCCCTACATTTCCAAGAGATGATTTTGATAATGATTCAAGTCAACACCATTCAAGATGAATTAAGGACAAGCTGAATTTATGACGTTGGTGAAAATGTAAAACATTTCCCTACATGTCCAAGATATGTTTTTTTAAAGATGATGATTCAAGCAAGCCCAAGATGATTCCTGAAGACTAGATAGAGTCTTAGAATGTTGGATATGGAGGTACAAGTTGATGAAATAATATTATGCATAAGCCTCCAAAGCACAAGTGTGATAAAATTCATAACATGATATTTTTCACTGTCATAATTAATTATGATGCATCAGAAATAGAAAAATGATTTTCTCTATCATAATTGATTATACTGGTAATATAATAAATTATGTCAATTCAAATTTAAAAAATATATCCGTTTTAAAGAATAAATGTTTTTGAATACATTCTGATTTTCTCTATAATATTATTAATGTCTAACAGTCATTTTCTGATGCTATTTTTCTATTTAATTAAGTTTTAATGAAAAATAAAAAACACACAATTACAGAATTCGAAAATACAATTTACATTCAATCAGTTTTGAGAAAAGAATTCTAAGCAAGGCAACAGAGATATTTTACACCTTTTGAGAAAACTCTATTCTCTACTGTCTTATGTGCTTTCATTGTTAATCACACTTGTTCTTGGATATTGACATTCTATAGGCTTCTACAATTTGTTGTCTCCATTACTCATGAGTGTCTGTTCTTATTTTTATTACCTTCATCCTTTTTGTATTGGTGAAAATGAGGTATTTTTCATCCCTAGTGTGTTCTAGGGAGGTGTTCATCCTTAGTAGAATTTTAAGGAGGTGTTTTCATCATTTGATTTGTTCAGAGGAGGTGTTCATCCCTAGTGGGATTCTAGGGAGGTGTTCATCCTTAGTGGGTTTATAAGGAGATGATTGTCTTTTTAATTAGTTTACTTTTGGCTGGTTCTTCTGCTGAGTTGATTATAATTTGTAAACTGAATTTGAAAGATAGTGAATGAGGAGTCACTCTTGTGTTAAGAGTTGACTGGGAACTGGATGTAGAGTTGACTATACCCGAACCAGTATAAATATCTGTGTGCTCTTCTCTTTCCCTTATCTCTTTCTCTTTTCCTGATTATATTATCATTTTCGCTTTATCTGTGTCAAAACAAATTATTGACTCAAATAAATTTTTAATTTGACATCTATTTTAATTTATGCATCTATTCACCCCCTTTAGATGTTATTTGTCTAACAGATTCTAAAGTTTAAAAATGGATGTTTTTAATTAAATATAAAAAAATATCTTAAAAACTATTTATTTTATCTCTTAAAATCAATTAAAATAATATTTTATTATATATTTAACTTATAATTCTTTTAAAAATCAAATATTATTATTAAAATACAAAATAATACATTTTAATATTTTTTTCAACAGATATTATATTTATATTCTTACATATACAATAAAGAATTAAAGTCACGTAATTACTTTATAAAAACAAATATTTATAAAAAAAATTAATTTATTTTTAATTTTGATTTTGATATAAATGCTTATTATGATAACAAAAAATAAACTGTATTAGAGTATTTATTGCTAATAACTAAATTAATAGTATATTAAAAATAAATTTTATATATTTAAAATAATTTTAATTAATTTTCAGATAATTAAATTAAAAGTATATATAAAATGATTTTATATTTCTATAGTTATATAATAAAATTAAAAATACATCCAAAAGTGATTATAATTATTTTTTTTATAATTTAAGTAATAATTAAATTGAAAGTAAACTAAGCTTTAAATAATTTCAGAATTTAAAGTTATTTATTATTTTTATACTAAAATTTAAATATTTTAAAATAAATATTTAATAATCAAATGAAAAATAAATTTGAAATGTTAATTAAAATAATTAATTTTATGATGACTGGATTAAAAATATAACTATGTCTAGACTTTGATAAATTTTTAACAATTTTAATTGTAGGAAAAAGATTAGAATATATTTATATAAATTAATAATAAAATGGAAATTTTAATTTTATATTTATTTATCTCCAATTATAAATTGATCCTATATTATTTATTTCCAATTATGCATTTATCATATTTTATATTTATTTATCTATCTTCAATTACGTATTAGTTTTATTTTATTTATCTCTAGTTACTGATTGATCCTATTTTATATTTATTTATCTCTACCTAGTATTTAACTGATCCTATTTTATATTTACCTTGGGGGTTGAAATAAATAAATATCACTTAAAGAGTGATTAAAATTGGACTCATTTATCCTAATTAGTTAGTACAAATTTAATTTAAATCTTCATAATATAAAATAAATGGAATATGGTGATGAAGTTGAAAAATAGATTTTATAGCAATGTGAGATTATATTATTTTAAATAATAATTATTCTTACTTCCTTCTTGTTATCTCTCTTGTGTATATTACAACTAAAATATCAATCTAAATAGATAGAAACAGATTGAAGACAAGTATTGTTGATAAATCAACAACTTTTAGAAGAAATTTTTTTATCAATTTGAATAATTTTGTGATATAAAAATAATGTAAACTTGTAAAATTCATATATTTATACATATAAATATATAAATATTTATTTCATATTTTGCTTTTATCAACGTTTTCTTTTCGGATACTACTTGAAGCATAAACATTATTAACAATTTAGTTACTTTTTAAAGAATAAAATTGTTGGTCTTAATATTTGCATCCGACATAAAAATTCTCATCATTTTAGACGGATCAATAATGATCACTTTTATATGCCCCTACAATTTACGATAATCTTTTAATTTACTTGTTCTCACAATCAATATAAATACATGTATAACAGTGATAAAAGTAGAAGGAATAAAAATTAAATAAAATTTATTCTTTTTTTTAATAGCTGATATAAAAATATAATAATATAAATTACAATTGTATATACAAAATATTTTTATCTCCTATGTCATTCTTGTAAAAAATATTTGTTTTTGTGATTTTAATAGTTCAGATGTGATTCATGCATATACAAGAAAATCACGTATTACCGACGGATATTTACCGACGAATTTGTAATCGTCGGAAAATAATTATTACCGACGAAAATTACCGACGGATATAAAATATTTGTGGAATTTGATCTTACCGACGGATATATCCGTCGGTAAAATAATAATTATTTACCGACGGATATATCCGTCGATAAATCCGTCGATAATTTACAGATGAATTAACTGACGGATATATCCGTCGGTAAATCCGTCGATAAATTAACAATTAATTACCGACGGA